AGTACACCTTCATCTGTTTCTAACTATTCTTTGCATTATACAGTGTTTCATAGTTAGAAGATAGCACCAGACACCACAGGATGGTTCACACAAGGTTGTGCACATGACCGAATCCGGAGATTTACCCTGAGTTCTGGGATGCCATCAGGGGCGTTTCTCATTCACTGCGTTATCATTCACGCAAAGAAGAGCTTGGCTAATCAGAATTTACGAATTTCAACAGCTTGTTGAGCAGTTTTGTGGGCCGTGGAAACATCCTAATTGAGTTCCAGACAGAAATCGAATTCCATTTAGCTTGACTGGACCTCGGGATTCGTCCTAGCCTGAATTTCCAAAATATAGCTCAACGTTCAGGGCTCTCGTAGCTTCGGGATCTCATCGTCAGGTGAGTACATCTCCGATGGTTAGAAGTTGGACAAATAATGAAATAGACAGCTAAGGTTGCTTACTAAATTAGAAAGCATGGAAACACGGACGACTGGGTGTCAGCGAAACTCAAGTCTCTGTCACAGAGAGACTGTTTGGATTGAGAAACACTGGACGAAGGAAACCAACCCTACTCAGTGAAGTCACTGACGCTTTACTAGATGGATTAGTGGTGCACATGAGTTTTTTTCCAAGTCGTTTAGGGATAAATGTCTTCCCAAAACATTTGGATGTTTGGTATTCACCACATTTAAATCTGAGTGCTAATCAGCCTGGTCCCAGGATATTTATCACATTTACTCTGAGTATGCCTACGTGCTCTAGCTTACGAATAACCCTCGCCAATCCGGCTGTTTTATGCACCTATTTTATTAACCATCTGTGCCGTCCATTTAATCCCTTTTTGGGTGGAAAGCGGCGCCACGTACACTAGTTTAAGTCAGTCCGCCTGCATACGCCAACGTACGGTTCCGACACAAACTTATGATCAGCGTAAGAGCCGCAAACGAAACCAAAGAAACAAAGGGAAATCAAGAGAGGGAGAGAGAGGATATATACACAAGTGAGAGTAATCACAGTCTGGTAGCGATGTCCTGCTACTCCACAATGTTCCTACGGTACAGCCATCCGTTCCTACTGTGATGTCCTCACTATTTTGCAACGATCTCAAGCGAATTTCACATTTTCCACAACTAACTGACTACTGTCTCGTGAGAGTTCTTGTTTTAACTTGGCGTACTATTCCGCTGAATTACAGTTTAAAAACTGCATTCTCAAACGAACTTCCAAATATTCTGCCAAAGGATCTCCTTCAAGAATCCCACTGCATATGGTTAGTAGTTTTTCTTTGTTTTCGTATTTTGATCTCACTTGCATAAGTAAATTCAGAATTAATTAGTCACATTACTTCATCAAGACCTGCAATAACAAAATCAAACTATCCGCCACATTTCATGATGGATAAGTAGTTAAGGTCGGTGGTACGGGAAAGTACGCTTAATCCAATCACCTGAGTAACAATGCTTCATGTGACGTCATTTTGTCATGAGTGTTTTTGTGGGGTGTGTCATTTGACAGAATGATTTTTCTCGTCAGTTATGATGACGGAGTAAATCAATGACGGCACAGGAGGAGGAATTCTCGGTTCTGTCTCTCAAACTATTCACTCGTGTGAACAACTTCCGAGTGCGTATACGACACACACGTCAAGCCAAGAAATTATACGTTTTTCCACTCTTGACATGCCATAAACCAGTGTCACCCAAATATCTTTTAACAGCATCACGAGCTTCTTAGACTGTTTTCTTCTAGGCCGACTGATTAAATTGAACTGCGCATACACAGCACCTACTGAAACGCACCACAAAGTTGCAATAAGTACTAAAAAGACCGAATCCACGGAGGTACACACTGTAACATGGTAGATATGTTTGTATTCCATCTGATGATTCGGTCAGTGTCACGCTCGTTCGGTATGTGTGAGGTCGATGGTTGGAGTCTTATCTGAAGATGTGAATTTCTTGTGTAGCTTGGGTAATTTGACCCAAAAATGTTTGACCGCCCCCTTTTGCTGGAAAGTTCCAAGGTTAGCTGGATAAAGACTGATAACTACCAGAGAAGTAAGCACACCTTGTCGATGTATGATTCTCAGGGTAAGGCGAACAGTTCGATCAGCTAATCCAGATAAGTTTAAAAATTTAATTCGGTTCGTAGAATTCTGTTGTTGGTAGCACAAACAACAAGCTGGAGTTTTGTTGCTCAGGTCAAGAGAGCAAGCATCAGAGGCATGCCACATTTTTCAACATCCCTACTTAAAATCTTCCCCATAAATGATACATTTTGATACAACCAAATGTGTTTTTTATATACTAAAGTTGAATACTCTTTGTCGTAGCCAGAAACCATATGATGTCTTATTAGCAAGAGGGACAAGTTAGAATTGCTTAACCTGTCAATCAGATTGCACAGTGTCATTTTAGGATGAATGATATACCGAGAGAATATATACACTTTCAAAAGTTGGTAATGTGTTGGTATATTGGTAGCTCGGGTGTATTGGTTGGTAATTGATCAGGTGGCTGTTGATCTGTTCGCCGAGCTTGGCAATTGGTTTCAAAACTTTCAAAAGTTTTCACTCCAACCGGTCGTTTACTTGATTCAGGACATCCTAATCAAACTGGTAAATTCATAGTCTCTAACAACTGTTCCAAGGTGAATACCATGGGATCTTGTCACTTCATTAATCATCTGCGTCAACCTAATAGGTTTCGGTCGCGTTGAAAAGCAACGTTTGCCTGGGCAGACTGCATTGATTGTCCTCCCTCGGGAGGATAAAGGGAGCTCTGACTTTCGTATTTCACTCGCATGCCTACTCTGCCTGATGATGAAAGTTCTGGTATAATGCGAACATGATACTTAGCTTCAAGGTTATATGTGTCACATGGAACAAACTGTTGTAGGAAGTGCTAATTGGTCTTTAATATGTATTTGCAGGGGACATGTATGTGCTCGAATTAAGCTCCCAAGCCATGTGTGATGAACGCTTTCATCGTGAGATGACTATATGGACGATGTAATTAGCCTAATCGGGGGCTGTGAAATCAGGCTGCCTTAATGTGGCCCGAGAAGCTTGTGATCGTTCTCATGATTATCATGCTGATTATTGATCGAGCCAGAATGAATCTGTATCGAACACTTCAAGGTTATCCTTCGATAGGTAATTTCTGGTTTGTTACCCGAGTTGTAGGATCCATACTTCATTAACTAGATTTAAGCAACGAAACATCTTTCATTATTGGGGTTGCTGGACGGGCGTTCGCAACAAATCCAACCACCTTCACGAGCTTTTGTAGGAACTGCTTGATATCCTCTTTTCAGAGACGTTTGGTAAACAATCGGTGTATTTATTTGTAATGTACTACTCATAAGGTTGCTGAAAATCCGTCGACAGCCCACGACCGGTTTTGCCCTTATTGGTGCTTATCAGGTAGGCGCAGTCCCCGGGTTTCCGTCAACCTTATGTTCTACCTGAAGCCAGATTGCACGAAATTAGCGAATATACACTCATTTGCAAACTAATTTGTTTTTTTTACAAGAAAAACAAATTAGTTTGAGAATGAGTATATTCGCTAATCGGTGTATTTATTCCTGGTCAACGTTTCGCAAACGACACATAAGCATCGTCATGCCCAGTGAAAAGTAACCAGGATGATCTGGTTCCAAGGTAGTCAGGGAACCAATCCGTGATATTTCTTATGACTAGCTGACTTGATCAGTGCTCGGTGTAGGTATGAATTTCCTGTTTGTTGGTTTGTGAAGGTGACCAACGTTTACGATAGATTAGTAAGGAGGGAGGGTTGTCTGCATGCTGAATCCGGATTTGGTGGCCTTGCTATTCCGGTCTATGACACCTTAATGGAATATTCCCCTTCGAGGGCGTTTATCAAAATTTTACCAAACCTCTTTGAAACGGTGAGTACCCAGTCGGTCCCCAAACACTCCAATTGCTTCATATCCTTATTTAGTTCACGATTGCTTGGGTTAGACATGGAAGGTCACATGAGGGACATTCATAATAGTATCCCCTACCGATGTATATTTGCCACATGTACTTTACGGAACATAATCATAATTACTCTCAAAGATAGGCTTGCTTTACAAGTTCCCAACTAATTGCATCAAAAATTAAGCTCGTTGTGTTACTCGATCCTTCAGTTTAGTTCCCTAAAGATNCGATGTATATTTGCCACATGTACTTTAGGGAACTAAACTGAAGAATTGAGTAACGCAACGAGCTTACTTTTTGATGCAATTAGTTGGGAACTTGTAAAGCAAGCCTATCTTTGAGAGTAATTATGATTATGTTCCGTAAAGTACATGTGGCAAATACACATCGGTAGGGGATACTACTATGAATGTCCTTATGTCACCTTCCATGTTTTACCCAAGCAGTTGTAGACTAAATGAGAATATGAAACAATTGGAAAGTGTCTGGGACCGATTGGGTAGTCATCATGGCGCCATTTTTCATGATCTGGTCGTGAATGGGTGATTCGCACTGTGTTGCATTCTCGAACCATCAGATATTCACAGAAGTCTCGGAATACAAAACTGAAGAGCTGATAAATCATTACTATGATGAGCTGGAGTACAACCACCTGAAGTGGTTGGACTGATTTTTGATGAACTGATGTAAGCATATTACGTATCTCGTCACCTTCAAAAAGCGGGATTTTTCAGTGAAACCTACAAGCACACTTGGTATTCACACTTGGTTTCATTTGTTTTAATCCATCAGTGTTTTCCAAGTTGTACTTTAGGTGCAACCTCGTTGATTCACCGTCACAAAAGGAATGCAAGGCAAAATTATCTTCAAATTGAGGTCATTACGCAGCGGTTGTAAGGAGAAGTGGGGGGGGGTATGAATTTGAGTCACCTGCTGCTCAACAGGGATTTTGGATTGCACAACAAAAGTGCAACTTCGGAATTCCACATCGTCCTTGGTTCAGCCAACCTCGATCTCGTACGTCTACCAGAGTCCTGAACGAGTTTACATCCATTAAACTGTAGCTCACCTCATATTCTGTCAGACTTTCCCTTAGTTGAGCATTCTGTAGCGATTCTTTCTTGTACACTTTAGTAGAACAAAGTAAATGTCATTTACTAAATACCAGTTCTCCACATTACAGTCACTCAGGTCTATAAACTGTTTAGTTTCACCTGACTGTCTTCTCGCGAGTAAAAGTTGGGATTGGTGGCGCTATCATGTCCACGTGTTCTGTCCCACAAGATCATGCGAATGGCCCCTCCACACCTCTTGTTCAATGGATGCCACTGTTCATATTAACCCCATTAGTGTGTGTTTTTAAGGCAAAAGAGTTTTAGTGCTTAGAGCCTCGACATCGTATACGAGATTGTAGAAGAGACTGACAGAATGTGAGGAAAAACAGGCCCAGCCAGACATTAGTCTGACTGAAATATACGAAAGAACAGAAGGTCTACTTGCAGAGAAACCAACAAAACAAAATTGAAAAAGATGGGAATCTAATTATGTGGACACATAAAGGGAAAACACAAGGAAAAATTAGAATATGCAAAGGAACCCAGTTCTAGAGAAAGGGTGTATGCAGACTATCAAACACCCGAAGTTTACGTCATCAAGCCAATCGAGTTGCAAATGCATTAGGCAAATAAAAAAAATGCGCAAGGGTTACTGTACAAGTAGCCGATGAGTAAGAGATATCATTCACCCTCGAAAGATATCTAACTCCGAGCAAGGGAGGTGGAACAGTTTACCTCTCCGAGTACCGAAGATGTCTCTCCGAATAATGACGAAATAGTCAGTAAGTTAGACTAGTTGGAAGCTATAGGGTTATTATTCCTAACAATACATGATTTTTGCACTACAGATTAATTTTAATTGGGCCGAAACTCTCTTGTGTGGATAAACCATGGTTAACGCACCGAGTTGCTTAAACGAATATGGCTTGGTTACAACTAATCGCAAGCAATCAGACAAAAATCACCGAGTGTTTCAAGCATTTGTGGCGCTAAATGAACCGGACGTTTGGGTAGATGCTTTAATCGGCCGAAATAACCGGGTCAGTTAATGGGTCGCCTTTCAGGTAGGCAGGCTAATTATACATATCACTCAGGCGTGGTAACATTCACCCATATCGATGTGGCGGTTCAGGTGGAAGAGACAGCCTGTAGACTCAGACGTTCAACATCGGTCTTAACAATGTTGACCTAGGTTTCCAACTGACCACCTCGATAACAACGGCACTCATGGCTCGGTTCGTGAGCGGCGAAGAACGGGCCTAAACCATCAGAGACGGCGTTGATGGCTTAGTTGTCCGAGTCAGGCGATGCCAAACCATAGATAGTGGATCTTTTCATTCGACACACGATAGTGGGAATATTTTTCAAACACCAGTGACCCAAAATCACCATCTTATGAGCGCCTGAAACACCTGTCGGCACGGTTTCACAAGTAAAACAGCTCAGATAGCAGACTGACACATGTGAACATTAATCTTCAGATGAAATCTGCTCGGTTATCCAAACCGAAAACGACGAACACTCGAAAGCAGCTCCAGTGGATTGGGCAGGTGAGATGAAGTCAAAGCCAGCGATTTGACAGCCTTCCTCGTGCTGCTGCCTTCGCACTTGAGTGCGCAAAGGTGTATGTTCTAATAAAAGCGAAGGGAGCGATCTGTAAAAGTCTTCTAAGAATCTTCACCAAAAAACGAAACAGAATACTAGTGATGCCTTTCGGCGGTTAGTGGATGAATTATTGATATTCACCGGACTACGATTTGCTCACCAGCCTTACGGGAACAGTTACCCTGTTCATATTTTGCGGAGTAAAGATTCTGATGTTTCCCAGAGCGATCGATTTCCCCTGGTCGGAAAATTTTCCAACCTTCACGGTAATTTAGTTATGTCCGACGGGTCAACAGCCATTCACATTTTTGTGACAGTCTTTCACCACCGGAGTACTCAACTAGGTCATCTCTAGGAGCCGTTGTAGTTCAATGCCTCGCATTTGCTAGCACAGTTAGACATGCCTTCGGTACTTCAAGAGAATTTCGGTAGTTTTAGATGGGCATACGTGAAGGACCTTTGAGATCACCCGACTCATATTCAAGTTTGCTACTGTTCAGGTCATAATGTCCATTTGGATATGTCCGAGTTGCGACTGTTTGCATTTCCAACATTTTTTCTTATGATACAAAAAAATTGGCTTTGAGAGCACACGCAGAGGATTGGTGGCGCTACGCCTCTGGTTCTTCTGTCAACACCACAAAAGTTATGAACGAAGAATCTAATTCTATTCTAAGTGGCTAGATTCGAGTCTAGGTTTGAGGAATTTGACGTACGCACACAACTAATCCGTTTGGGGACTTCATGAACTTCCAGAATCAGTTTCGTGTTCGGAAACTGTGCTCAATCTGGTCAATCAGGAGTAGTGATATGCTTTTCTACCGGGGTTCTAGCGTTAAAGGCAAACGAGGAAAGATCGATAGGCCCGTGCACAAAGTTGTTGCGGCCACAAGGTTGTGTTTGACGAGAGATAGCGCTAATAATCCCCTCCAAAATATAGAATACGTACAGAATTCTACATGATAGATAGTCTTGGGTACTATGACATAACTGACAGGAGATCAGATTGAACGCACATATCTAGGGCACAAAATGCTCTCAGTAAACAAAGTCACTCGATGACACAAGCGATCCACCCAAGGGTGATTTCACTAAGGGATACGTCACATAACCGATTCTTTTTGCACATCTAAATTTGTAACGGCAGACATAGTTGAGGCTGAAGCTTTTCGGTATTAGTAACGCAGATTGAGATTGCTAAAGTCTGTCTGGCTAAGTTTTGTTACCTTTATGGCCTGATGTTAACTAAATGTTGCGAAGAATTATCAAAAAACCTCACTAACAACAGAACTGGTGAAAACTGTGCTCGAGGAGGGATTAAGCCAATTCCGTGACGCTTCCATTTGAAGAAACATCAGTCGAGGAGCCTATCAACATCGAAACATGCTATTATAAGCCAATGGCGCCATCTACCGTCCAGAGGAAAGTCAAACCCACTGCTGCTTAAACGCTCGTGGCCAAACATCTCCCATCACTGACTGTGATGTCGATCCTTCATATGCCCACCGATGATGATTCTGCACCGCAGTTAAAGTGCAGTGTAGTAAACGATCATCTGACCAGTGATGCACGGTCAGGGAGGTTTTTTTCTGATTGATCAGCAGTGCCCATGGACAACTTGCTCATTACCAAGTCATGGGTTTGGAATTTTGCCGAATGCTCAATCTAAAGAATTGATCAACCTGAGTTGGCTGCTCCGGAAGATATTGTTCACATCCCAGTTCGTGGTGGTGCATGGATGCTTTCTGAAACACAGTATTTCAAGAAAAAAATGATACTAGATGCAGACAAATGCCATAAAGAAACCATCTCTACAAAGAGTAATTCTACTCCCACCAACCCAACAACTGACGCTGTGAATAACAGGATATCGGCACTAACGACCTTTGGACCGTGTAGCCCCATAAATTGTTCGTACCACATGCCACATTTTCACCGAAGGATTCGTTTTCCAAGCATACATAGTATGAAGTATCATTAGCACCATCACTTCATCAGTATACCAGTGATTCACGATATGCGGATGGCTCATGTTCCGGAATGGCCCGGAATCCCCTATTCACCTATTTTCAATCAAATTTATGAAGTCTCTAGATAGAACCCGCAACAATGAAGTATAGTGCTGCGGATTTTCCAAGATCTTTTGAAATTCTTCCCACAACAGCTAACAGAAAGATAAAATCAAGACATTTCCATACAAGTTATATACATGCGAGAAGAACAGTTATGTAGTGCTATTTGGAAGTCATGGGGGACAAGAGGGGTAAACTCGATTAGCTCAGACAACAGGTTCTTAAAAATTAGTTATCTTTGGTCTTCATAGCCTCCATCGACCGAATGAGTTCCTCCACCTCCGCCTTTCGTCTCAGTTTGGCCAACTGATCCTTGTCTAGTGCTACGCCAAGTCGTTGCTTTTCTTCGATCGCTTCAATTTGCCGTAGTCGTCGTTTCTCCACACGAAGTTTGTGGTCGATATCTTCTTGGCTTAATTGTTCTTGCACACTCTGACCGTCCTCAGTGGGCGGATGAGTTGTGACCACTGGCCGTAACATGACAGTTTCTACAAAAGACCGTGGAATGTAGGATATTTCAAAGACCACCAGGCGATTGAAACGATGCGTGGTTTGAAAGATAACATATTTCTTACCTGTCCGCGTGAGGCCATTGTATAAAAGGTGAACATCTCCTGTCTAAGAATTACCCTGCACAAGTACCATTCCCACATTTGCAAAGAGCTCCCGCTGAATGGTACCATAACAGAACCAGGTACACACTCAAGCAACACAACTATTGCTTTTACAGTGACCGAGACCCAATTTCGTTTACGTTCAACAAAATTGCCAAGTTCAACGAACAATAGGAACATCAAGAACTCATGCATATTCTCATACCAGTCAGATCGGAACACGATCCTGGAAACTGTCTGAATTTACGAAATT